AGAACATGACGAATAAGGTATGTTTTAAGTTCAACTTTTGGTCGTCTTGTTCAAGTGCACTTCTTCATTGAAAATAGAAGTCAATCACCTATGATTGTTGTTTTTCAGGTTCCTTTTGCTTCTTCGGACTTGAAGGATTCAAGTTTAACCAAGTTTCTTTCATCTAAAAGAAAGGAGGGGAGAGAAATTCCAGGCTTTGTTCTCAGTTACTACAGTCCACAAGCTCAACTTTTAATTTCCTCTTTGTTTGTAATAAATTATGCTTCATGTGTGTTTTGTTGTATCATTTCATGTTTTGCATGTTTGATTCCAACATCTAGTTTTTAAGGATGAAGAACAACATCTAGTTTTTAATAAATTATGCTCCAGTTAAGAAGGCTGAAATATGAATTCTGCAAGCTTGATGTTGTTCTTCTTATTATAAAACTTCTTTTCCGTCACTCTATTTTAATAAATTTTTTTTAGTTTCTTTACTTAAATTTCTTTTTTTAGTCTTAAAATTTAATATTAGATTCATTTTTAGTCTCTTTATTATTTTTTTTTATGTGATATGTTATTTTAATGAAAATCTCATAATACAATTAACTAAGAAAAACATTTTTTAAAAAAAAAAAGACTTAAAAGGACTAAAAAAACTCTTTTTTTCTTCTCTTTTGAAAATTTTGTCATTTAATAAGTTACATATGCAAAAAAATAAAAACAAAAAAATTAAAAAATGATTGAATTTTAAACTTTAAAGATTAAAAAAAACCTTTTTTAAGTTAAAAGAAATTAAAAAAGACTTTTTATTAAAATATAAAAGCTAAAATGGGGTTCTAATTAACCTTCTTCTTATCAACTTGTTTTTGTTAATTAAATGGTTATTCCTTGATCAAATTTTTATAAAGCAAATGAGCAGTGGATGTTTTATGTGATTCCATTAATGTTTTTATAATCAATAATTAGAATGAGGAAGATTTACTTGATAACACCTCCCTCAGGTTCCATTCTTCATCATTCAACCGAGCACGTAACTGTGCTCATCACCTTTGAAATGATTGTTTTAGGGAGAGAGGGTTCCTTCGACTTGTCTAGATTTTACTGAAAATGCAAACTTCCTATGGACTTGATTCAACAACTAGAGATGATGGAGTTTGGTGCATGGAGGGTGGAAAACAACCACTACTCACGTACATCTCATCAATGTATGGCATTCTTTTCTTTTTCTTTGTGCTGAAGAAAAAAAAGCACAAAAGGGGTCACAATCATCAATAATGCAGAACATAACAAGTGTACTCAACTGTGGCAGCCCTGCTTTGTGATCAAATGTATGAGTCCTTATCATATGAATCATTTTAATTAAATAATAAATTAACTAAAGATTAATTGTTATTTTTTAATAATAATCAATACTGATTTATTAAATTTTACTACTATTAAAGCTCAAAATACATTTAGGTCCAAAGACTGCCATTAAAGTCCAAAATATATTTAAGGTCCAAAGGTTGAAAGGGGACTACAAACGGACTGAAATTTTAATGGCGTCCGGTTCCTCAGATCTTCCGTGTTCTAGTTGTCTTCCAATGCACTTTCCAATTTCAGTAAAATAATAATAATAATAATCTGATTTCCCGTCTATCCCTCCACATTTGTCTGCTCAAATTTCAATCCAACTCTCCGTCTTCAATCCAATTATCTATCATTCTTAATTTCAATTTCAAAATACCAATTATCTCTATCCTTTTTTTCGCTACCCAATTTCAAAGTCCCTTCATTATCTCCCGATTTTCATTATATTCCGGATTTTGTTCTGATAATTATTTTTTTTATTTTAATCTCAATTTCAAATTTCAATCCGTTATCCATCATTATCAACCATTTTATGTTCAATTTCATTCATATCACCATTTCAACAAAAGCAACCATCCGACTTCAATTTATCCTTTCAATTCAAATATCTTTCTATTTCTATCCGTCAAGTTTCGATTTAGGTCCAGTTTCTGATAAAAGGTATCGCGTCTAAATCTCATCATGTTTCAAAATTTCAAATATAAATCCCTTTTTTACTATTTGTAAAGCCAGTTAATCGATGCTCTCTCCTCCCCATGATGGAAGAGTCACTAGGTTTGTGCTCGTGCTTCGACTCTATTATTTTTCTTTAATCTTTCAAGGTTTTTTTTTTCTAATTTTCTCTGCATTTACATGATGTGAACTATCAGAGCACGGCGTAGTTCCCATTGTTGAGAAAAACAGTTGTCTTCTAGCCAAATTTTAACTTCACTGAGAGTTTCACTGTCCTATCATGGCTTTCCAGTTTAATTTTAGTTCTAATTAGTACAATTTGGGTAACTAATTTTAGCTTGATTTTTATGTTTAATCATTATTTATTGCATCTAATTTTATGTTCTAATCAAATATAATTCATTTGTGCTTCTTATTTTTTGAAAAGTAAAAGTATTATTTATTGAAACGGAGTACAAGGATTACCCATACCTGTAAACATCTCAGTTTGAAAGGCAAAGAGATAGTCAAAGAGCCCTTCCGTTCGGTGTCGACACATAATATATGTGTCGACACCATGTCCGTGTTTGAGATTTGGCTCAGCTCTTCCGTTTGGTGTCGACACCCTAATAAAGTGTCGACACCACGTCCGCGTCGGGATTCAGAAATGCTCAGCCCTTCCGGAATGCCATAACCTCCCTTGTTGATATATTTGGCTCTAGAGTTCCTATGCTGTATTACCTCTTCAATTTTATGCCATCTGTCATCTTTTTTTCTTGCTGCAGTTCACCCTCATACATTCAGTCGGGTTTAATATCCAATCGGAGAGGGAAAAAAAACAACCTTCCCGTCTGCCTTTTAACCAGTGGAAGGCACGTAGTTGGATTAACTCAAATAACCTTCCTTCCTTCTGTGCTTTCCCTGTGAGTATTTGCTCGTTCCTAGCCAACCAAATTGTCCACACCATAGCGAACCAAATGCATTCCCAGCCTTCTTTCACCGCCTCTCTTTTGAGTAAGAAGCTGTGTTGCTCAAACACTCCCCAGCAATCTCTATCAAGTACAGTACAGAGACCCCACCACTTGTTACATGCAGACCATAAGTTGTATGCTAGTTTGCAGTGGATATAAAGGTGGGCGGAATCCTCCTCTTCCACTTTGCAGAAAACACATTTACTTTCTGCAGGGTCCTGAATGACGCCCCTTCTTAGCAAGTTTCCTCTTGTTGGTATCTTATCTTGGATTAATTGCCATGAGAATGCTGCAATCTTGCTTGGCACAATTGGGTTCCAAGTCCCTTTGAGAATTGAGTGTCGTTGCTCTCCGTCTGGCTCCATAGTGAGTACTTTGTAAGCTGATCTTATAGAATATTTCCCATCTTTGCTATGGGTCCATAATCGCAGATCACTTTTTCCTTTTTCCATCGGGGCATCTTGGATATCTTTGTAGAGTTCAGCAACTTGTTGCTCTTCCCAGCTGTATAATTCCCTTCTCCATTTTATGTCCCACTTCCATTTGTCACTGCACCAATCTCCCATTTGTGAAATCTTATTGTCTTTCGCTGTAGATAACATATAAAGTCTGGGATATTTATTAGCAAAGCAGGGATCCCCGCACCAATTATCCCACCAAAAACTTACTCCTTCTCCCCCTCCTACTCTTAATTTGAACCCTTTAACCATGTAGAACCTGCACTATTTAATCTACAAATGTCCTTCCACCATGTAGAACCTGAGCTTACCCCTTCTCTTAACCAATTGAAGCTATGTTCCCCTCCTATTCCATACTTCTCACTAATAACTTCCTTCCACAATCTACCCTCTTCCTCTATTACCCGCCCCCACCACTTTCCCATTAATGCTAAGTTAAATTTCCTTAGATTTTTCACTCCCAAGCCTCCATTTTCTTTATCCCTACATACCTTCTTCCAGCTCACCCATCTAATTTTTTTCCCCTTCTCAGCCCCTCCCCACCATTCATTTGTGCTTTTAATTCATTATGAATTCATGGAAAGAGAAATTTTCTTTCGCATTTTCCAGCCAAATGGAAAAATTATAAAGTATTGTAAATTGTTTCATTGGCACTAAATTAAGCAGGCTATATTTTGCCTTGCAATTCATTGAACTGTTCCTGACTAATGGTTTTCTGTCGACATTTATGCACAGATGCTTGCAGCTTAGACTAAAACAATGAATAAAGGTCCAGCTATATATATATTCTCTGGTGCTAGGAGCTAAAGCCTTCGAGATTAGCTACTGTAAGTGAAATACTGAAAATAGAATTCTTACTGTAGTGTGCATTAGTATATTACTCTAATGATTCCAATTTTTATAGATGTTTGTGGCTTGTATGTATTTAGTAAAGTTTTAGTCTTGTAGTTGTTTTCATCCAACCGTAGTGTTTTGATTGATCAGAAATTTATTGACTAAATTTGGTTTTTGGGCTTGCTTGCTTTTCTTTGAAATCTTTTAAATTGGTTCCATTAATCTCTTTATGCAGGATGCTACTTTTTAGCCCCTCCTCAATCTGCAAATGGGGGAGTTGATACCTTAACAAGCCATTCCAAAATTGTCCCGTGAAGAAAGTGAAATAAGTATAGGTAAAAGTTTCTCATTTTAGGTTTTTGAATTAATTTTTAAGGATAAAAAGTACAGTTTTTCACAATTGCCCCTAGCTCAGTTCTTTCATCTCAAATGCTCTATAGGCATTTTTACGAGGAGAGGCATGGCGATGTGGAAACATAGATAATGTAAAACACGTTCAGATTTCTCAATATATATCAACACAGAATTGCAAATTCTTAAGGTTGCCCTCTTTACCTACATTTTCTTATAATCATTTCATTTTTAATGAATGTCTAACACTGTTATTTTGATGTGTTTTAGCTACATTTTGTTATGATTTTTTTACAGATATTTTGATATAGTCTATTAGTGAGTTATTCTTTATTCCTATAAATAGGAGAATATAACACAACACAATTTCTTCTATGTTGGGGGACCTGCATAAATAACCAAATTATAAAAAGAATTACGTTAGAAATAAGTAGACTTCATTATAAGGGTCATATAAACTATTGTCCATGTATAATTGTGTATAATGGTTGCCTTTTAGGTGGCTAGATGGGTGAGTAACTGTATAAACAAAGGGTTTATAGTATTAAAATCATGAAATGTCCAAAAAAAATACCATCTTGATGGTTAAATTTCCCCGAAACAATATATGAATATGCAGGGTGAAAGAGTGAGAGTGAGAAAGGAGAGATAGAAGAATGCAAGAGAGTTAGGAAAAGATTATAAATAAATAAAGGAAGAGATATAAATAAAGAATGACTAAATGGTTACAGAAAGATAGAGGAGGAAGAGAGATGGATTGAGGAAAATATATAACCAGAGAGTTATGGACGATCTATTTGGTATTTTTTTTATGATTAATACTTTTATTGGAAGTTGGGGAATGTGATCACTCCCAGAAAATGAGAAATCAATGGCACCAGTTTTTAACCATTTTCACAAGTTGTAACAAAGGAAATATAACTCATAACATCTACCAATGATCTAAAGATATAAGAACGAAGCATCTGTTGGGCACTATAGTTAGAATTAGCTAACTGAATGGTAGTTGCCCTGTCGCTATAAGGTAGAAAAAATTGATAAGCTTGATTTTAAGGACACCAATCTCAAGAAAGGTAAAAGGAGAATAGTTGCCCTATTATCTTTATTTCTTAGCATGTAGCTTATATGCTGGGTTTTAATTCTGTATCAGATAGTGAAATGACAGCAGTGCCTACTCACAAGAGGCATGTGTTAACATGTGAATCTTCTGTTTAGTATGATAGAGTTCAATTTGCAACCTTCAGATTTTATCAAAAGTTCATCACTGTTTATACTTTTTTGTCCAAATTTGGTGCTGGATACTGGATAAGCTGTTGTTAGTGCATGTAGCGGATCTTCTCTTCTTTTTCTTTTTTTCTTTTCTTTTCTTTTTTTGGTGCAATTGTTGTATGACATCTCTTTGTCTAATTCAGCCACTTATCTTTCTTTGTGCCTAACATCTAACCTTGCACTTTGCAGCAATTGAATTGCAGGCACATGAAAACTTGGAGAAAAGTGGCAGGGAAAATGAATCGGCTGCAAAAGCATCTTTAGAGATGGAGATCTCTGCTATGAAGTATGAGATATCTTAGTTAGAGCAGAAAGAAATAACAGATGCTCAATCTCAATGTTAGAAAGCCATTTTCTTTTGCATTTAATCCTTTCCAACTAAATGTCCTTTCATGCTATCGCTTTTTCATAGGAAAAAAAAAAAAAAAGGTTATATCTTTCTTATTTGAGTTAATTCTTCTATGGGTTGATGCATGTCTTCATAAATAGTTATTTTCTATCTATTGTTAATAGAATTATCACCAGTTTCATTGGTTATAAACCTCATAGCCTGAGTAAGAAGCTAGGATAATGTCTGTTAATTAAATAATACAACTACTAGAAAAAAGGAATAAGGAGAAGAATCCAAACATGTTAGCCAAGAAATTTAAGTTAAATTTGTTGTTTCTAATTGGATTTTGAGCATGTAAAGCCTCATGAAGTGGATATATCATTTTCCCTATTCATAAATAAACACATCCTAGAACTTGCTGCTGATTGGATCCCAACTGTATTTACTTACGCTGAATTGATAAAGGGGCTTGGAAAAGCTGGACAGGTAAGAATGCTTAACACCATGTTCATGAACCTGTTAAAAGAGGGTGTTAAGCCTGATGTTGTGCTTATCAACAATTTGTTAAAACATTTTGGGGAAAAGTAGGCTCACTGGAAGGTGTTTT